GAGGAAGCGGAGGTGGATTTGGTGGGGGAAGTGGAGGTGGTTTTGGAGGACACGGAGGCGGCAGTGGAGGTGGCTTTGGAGGACACGGAGGCGGCAGCGGAGGTGGCAGCGGTTCAGGCGGATACGGAGGGTAAAAGGAGCTAACTGTTAATTGGAAATCAATAAATATATTTACATTACATCCCTTTACTCAGCTCTTACCAAAGATACCAAAGCTTCTGGTTAATCCCTCTGTAAATCAACATAGTACGTAACCGTTTATACTTACTGAAGTCGCACTGCATACAGTGCAATGAACTCGAACAGCCAAAACTGATCAACTAAGAGCAATTCAGAAACCCTGTAAAGATTCATTGGGGATATTATTGACAAAAAGGGTTCATCTCCGATTTCTAGTGCCGAGAAGCAGAGGGACCAATGTTCTAAAAGTCAATGCATTTTTTTCTTTTATCGGTGACAAATCAAATTGTGTTCTATTATAAAATTTTAAAGATATTTTTGTACATAAAGAAAATAACGAATACTTTTCATAACGGATATATATACATACATACATATATATATACGTATATATATAAATATATATATATATATATATATATATATATATATATATATATATATATATTACTGTATTGCTTCCAAAGAAATATTTCAAAAAATGTATTTTTTGCTGATTGATTAATAAATTATAAGACATTTATTTCTGTTGATGTTAAAACCATACCACCTGATTCGATTTCTAATTTTTTCTACAATTTTATTGACAATAATTATGTAATATTTTCACTTTTTCTTTTCTGTTTCTATACAGTCTGTTACCAGTATATTGAAAATGACATAATGTCTTTAAAAAAATATAGAACAGTGAAAGCTGCCAATCTTTAGCATTTCTTTTGCCCTGTATTCGAGTCACACATTCAAATACATGATTTTCAGTGAATGGAATTTCAAAGTAATGCTTGATTGTCTTTTGCTGCTAAACACTTCTGTGAATTCGAGTGAAAGTCAAATACATGATTTCAGTGAATGGAATTTGAAAAGTTACGCTTGAATGGTGTTCCCAGATTATGTTTTTATAAACTACAGAAGCAAAATGTTGCAGCTCAACGGTTCGGCTATTCTCAAAATTGCAGTTTGTAAAGGCTACATAATTACATCAAATATATATATATTATTATAAAATATACATAATACATACATATATATATCTATATATATATATATATATATATATATATACATATATATGTATATATATATATTTACATACAAATATACATATAAATATATATGTGTATTTATGTATATATATACATATAAATACTGCTAGTATACTCCAACTTAGAAATATTTTAATCAATTATGGGTTTTCCTACCGATATTTTAGTATGTATTTATGGCTCTCTCTCTCGACACACACATACACACACACTCACACCCACACACACACACACCCACACACACATATATATATACATATATATATATATACATACATATATACATATATATATATATATATATATATATATATATATATATATATATATATATATATGACATGAATAAACAAATCTGTTTTTACTGAACCAAAGAAAAGTATGGTTTGAAACTCCAGCTACATTTTTTTCGCGTACAGTTACTTCGGAAGTCATACATATGAAGCAAAAATAATGGAGAACGTCTAAATCGGGCCTTGCATATGTATGATCTTCACGTGTTCATGGCATGTATGAAGAATAAAGGTTACAATGAAGCTTAATATAGATCAGGCTCCCCTCTTCCTCATCTTCTTTCCACATACAAATAGCTTCACCATGGTGACGATAGTTTTGAGTTCAGGAAAGGAGTGGGGGTGGGGGAGTGTCAGTGCAAAGTTCAAAGACAAACATCTTACTTATCAAATATATCAATAGTCGTGCAACCTCGTACACACGTAATATTAACATATCTGAAGTATGTATTTATAATAACACACACTCTCTCTCTCTCACACACACACACTATCTATATACATATAGATAGATAGATATGGATATTAATATATATACAGATAAATAGATATTTATAGATATATAGATATATATATACATAAATACACATATATACATTTATATGTACATTTGTATGTAAATATATATATATATATATATATATATATATATATATATATATATATATATATATATATATATATATATATATATATATATATATATATATATATATATATATATATATATATATATATATATATATATATATATATATATATATATATATATATATATATATATATATATATATATATATATATATATATATATATATATATATATATATATATATATATATATATATATATATATATATATATATATATATATATATATATATATATATATATATATATATATATATATATATATATATATATATATATATATATATATATATATATATATATATATATATATATATATATATATATATATATATATATATATATATATATATATATATATATATATATATATATATATATATATATATATATATATATATATATATATATATATATATATATATATATATATATATATATATATATATATATATATATATATATATATATATATATATATATATATATATATATATATATATATATATATATATATATATATATATATATATATATATATATATATATATATATATATATATATATATATATATATATATATATATATATATATATATATATATATATATATATATATATATATATATATATATATATATATATATATATATATATATATATATATATATATATATATATATATATATATATATATATATATATATATATATATATATATATATATATATATATATATATATATATATATATATATATATATATATATATATATATATATATATATATATATATATATATATATATATATATATATATATATATATATATATATATATATATATATATATATATATATATATATATATATATATATATATATATATATATATATATATATATATATATATATATATATATATATATATATATATATATATATATATATATATATATATATATATATATATATATATATATATATATATATATATATATATATATATATATATATATATATATATACATATACATACATATATGTATATATATACATATACATACATATATGTATATATATACATATACATACATATATGTATATATATACATATACATACATATATGTATATATATACATATACATACATATATGTATATATATACATATACATACATATATGTATATATATACATATACATACATATATGTATATATATACATATACATACATATATGTATATATATACATATACATACATATATGTATATATATACATATACATACATATATGTATATATATACATATACATACATATATGTATATATATACATATACATACATATATGTATATATATGTATGTATATATCTGTGTGTGTGTGTATATATATATATATATATATATATATATATATATATTTACATACAAATATACATATATATGTATATATATACATATACATACATATATGTATATATATACATATACATACATATATGTATATATATAACGTATTGTTTTCAAAGAAACCTTAAAAAAAAAATTCTTTTCTTTTGCTGAGTGATTAATAAATTATAAGACATTTATTTCTGTTGATGTGAAAACCATACCTCTTAATTCGATTTTTTTTTCCACAATTTTACGGACTTAAATATATATCAGTTATTCTGTTCCAATATATTGAAAATGACACATTGACTATAGAACATTAAAAATAGAATATAGAATATAGAACAGTAAAAGCTGAAGCTTTCCTTTGCCCTGTATTCGAAAAGCAGCCATAGATGGTAATCAATCACGTTCAAATACATGATTTTCAGTGAATTGGATTTCAAAGTAATGCTAGAGTGGCGTCCACATTTAGCCTTTATAAGATTAGCAGAAGCAAGCATTTCCAGTTCAGTGGAAGGCTTATCTCAAAATTGCCATTTTTGAACATTGGCTTTTTTGGCTCTTTTAACCTTCAAACTATACTGTGAATTGACACTGGAGTAAGAAAGTCAGTTCAGGAGATAACATGATTGAAAATTACGTCCGAATAAGTTCACTAGGCATATAGTCGTAATATGTTCAAGGAAAAATCTTGGCTTTCAACATCACTGGAAATCAAATTAATTACAGTAAATGCACAGGATAGGATTTACGAGTAGGTCAAGTAGGGACCTTTACATACTAAACTAATACACACACACACACATATGTATATAAGTGTACATATGTATACATATACATATGTATACACACATATACTGCTAGTATACTCCAACTTTGAAATATTTTAATCAATCATGGGTTTCATTCCAATATGTTAGTATGTATTTATGGATCTCTCAACACACACACTCTCTCTCACACACATACACGCTCATACACATACACACACAAACATATATATTTATATATGTATATATATGTATGTATGTATATATCTGTGTGTGTGTATATATATATATATATATATTTACATACAAATATACATATATATGTATATATGTGTACATATGTATATATATACATATATATACACATATGTACTGCTAGTATACTCTAACACACACACACACATATATATGTATATGACATGAATAAACAAATCTGTTTTTACTGAACAAAAGAAATGTATGGTTTGAAACTCCAGTTACATTTTCTTCGCGTACAGCTACTTCGGAAGTCATACATATGAAGCGAAAAAAATAGAGAACGTCTAAATCTGCCCTTGCATATGCATGATTTTTACGTCTTCATGGTGTGCCTGAAGATCACAATGAAGCTTAATATAGAATAGGCTCCCCCCTCCTCCATCTTCTTTCCACACACACATAGCTTCA